CGAGAGACGACAAAGTAAAGTACGTCTCAGTAAATCTCTTGCAACTTTCAAATAAGAAGACACAATAAATTCAACTCAATTAGATAGTTTTATTGTTCATAGCTGGTATTGTTCCTTGGAGATCAAGCTTCAGGATTATATTGCTTGTAGTATTATTTCAAAAAGGGTAGAATATTAATTATCTATTTCGTGGAACGCGGAAGATGGCATTCAACATTTCGCCTTCTGTTAAGTTTCTTTTTTAACAACCATTTTCAGTACTATAAGTTGCAGAAGTTCAAACCGATGCTAAACTCACAAGTTTTTAACTTTTCCGCTGTTTAATGATATAAAAGTATTTGCAGTTCTGACCAACTCACGATTCGTTTATGTATCCAATATATTGGACATGAAATAGTTCTCAATTACTTCAAAAATAATACTGTACACTTGTTCTCATCCTAATTTTATAATCCCTGTTAATTTTATAACGTGTATTTATATGTAGTGATGTTAAATTTAATATATATAATCTGCTTTACTTGTAAAAGCCTATAGCTTAGTGTTTTTTTTTTATACTGATTCAATATGTGTATAATTAGCCTTGTTTTTCCTTTAATAAATAAATAAATATGTTCTGAAAAACCATGTGAAATGATGATTATATTTGCCATCGTCAGGATTACCACGCCACATCTTCATGTTTATGGCTATGCATCATAACTTCAGACAAGTATATGCCTGCAAACGTCCATTCATGATTATAGAGGAAGTTGGATAGAAGATTTTTTTACTATAAAATACAACGGAACATGTTTTTTTTTTCATAAGAATTATTGTAGACTTATTTTGATGACTCTTATATCACAGATATCCATAAACTTAATAACCGTTTGCTATAGATTTCAAACATACTATACTTGTTGGATCAACGCAGTATAAAGAACTGCGGATTTCAATTAGTTTGCCCTCAGTGGGACTAATTAAGATTTATCTCAGAAAAGTTATTTAAATTGTCTGAGGCGAAACGGATCTCACTAGGAATTGGATTGCTTTCTGATATCCTGTTCCGTTATAAGACTGGGATACTTTGTAGTTCCATGACTATTTTATAAATGTTACTAGTTTTTATATTCTCAATAAGAAGATATGGCCAATCCTGGCCCGTTTTCTATCTTCCCAGACGAAACCGATTTGCTTAAATTAAATACAAAAAAATATTAATTCCTTTCCCCTCTTTATCTACTTTCTTCAATTCTTTTTTTTTTCGGACTACTCTAATGCTGTTAGTTGCAGCTGGCCTTTACAGCTTCACCGGACGTTAGGGGGCGAGTGCAGATGGTACTCCAAACCCGCGGAAGGACTTATGGAGCGGCTGAAGGCCAACTCCTGCCTGACGGATACGACTTTAGTCTGAGGGCACCACTAGGGGTTCGAACCTCGGCTCAGGCCGTCGTAATTTCGATCCCCGTTTGAATTGGACGGGGGATCGATCGGAGCTCTTCAATCCCATTACTCCTTTCCATTTTATAGAGCTATTGATATTTAACTATATATCTATAAAGGTGCTTGCAAGCACTGCTTGCTTTTCAGTGCAAATAATCTTCGTCTAAAAGCCCTAGACATGCATTTGAATGCTATTTTAAATCCTTTCCATTGCGCTTGTAGAGCTACGACTAACTCACTAGCGACAAATACGGGCTCTGAGCCCTAAGCGTCGCTCAAAGGAATATTGAAAACGTATTTCCTCTGATAATAATTCCTTTTTCAACTAGATCGTCGTATTTTCTTGTGAAATAAAATGGAAGGAACTGAAATGGAATGAATTTTTATTTGCATGAAATATGTTAATTATGAAGATTTGAATATGAGAATAGTTCACAGTATACATATATTTCGTACAGTGCATACAATATGTTAGAAAATAATCATACTTCAATTAAAATTTATTTACTTATTAATGAGATAAACCTTTTAATAAATTTGAGTGAAACTGTAACAATAAATGAACGTATTTAAAAAAATAAAACTATAGCTTCTACCCCTGTATACCACATGTAGTGTTCATTAGCTTTTACAAAATACACATATTCTTTCATGCGCTCGAGCGATCTTACAAGGGTATGTGGGCGCGTAATCGTGGGTTGTTTTTATTTATTTTTTGTATACACTCTTATATTCTATAGATTTTATTTTCCAAAGACACTTTAAATAACTAAGAAATATGTTAGTTCCATAGCCAGATGTCCGCCATTTTGCATCGTGGTAAATTCCTGGTGAATTCGCTACGATGGACAACTGATCTAACATCATGCTCACCATATCATCCTTTACTCACACCGTCAGCGTATACGATTTCTTTTAAAAGTATATAGAATGGTGACTAGTCATCATTTATCTTGTTTTATTGTGTTGTACCCATTCTACTCTGTTCTATTAAAATTTAAGAAGAAATAAGTTTTGTAAGCCCGTACAAATCTCACTGTTGTCACCCAAAAAATAGATTTTTTAATTCGCACAAGTCGTTTTTTAAGTCTTAGTGAGACTAACAAATAGGTAGCAATTTATATATAGACATACATACAGATGCTCCGTCTATATATCGAAGTACTAGACTCGATCTATTTAAATTAATCTGTACAGTCTAATCGTATTTTTCTTTTTTCTGTAAACTATATTTGTCTGTAAGAAATTGCACTAACGATGGTGATCACATTTCCTTCTTTCAACGTTCCTAGCCGGTGTTATTATTTCTAGTGTATTTCAAGATACAAGTAAAAGATAGAGAGTACTACTATATAGTAGATTATTTATATAAATACTAGCTGTGCACGCGGTGCCATCCGCGTTAATTTTTAATATATAAATTTCAATATAAAATATGTGTTATTCTGATACATAAGCTATATTACAGTAAACTTTCATCAGAATTCGTTAAATAGTTTTTTTTACATGAAAGTGTAACAAACATCCATACTCACAAACGTTCGTGTTTATTATTAAGATACGTACTACAAAATTTGACAACAGTAAATTAAGTGACAAATGCGGACATAAGTAAGTTTGGTTAATTTTAATTTATTCTATAATCTTATTACAACTGTTTTCTTTTCATTTCTTAGAAGAAAGTTATGTATCGTTTTAAGGATGAAATCACACTGAAAAAGCATCTATCAATATTGTCCTTATTTACCTGAACATTTTTTGTATCACTCAAAATACCATAGCGTAGTGATCTAGTAGTTTAGTGCCCCGATTTACAACGAGGTTGTGAATACAAATAATAATAATAAAGATATAATCCCATCAAAAGGAAGTTACTAAAAATAGTAAAATAAAATAATAACCGCAGACAATTTACACAATGGTCCCGAGCTCAGTAGAGCCTACGTTGTGAGTACTAGACAAGTGCTTTAAATACAATAGAAAGTTTTTTTTGAAACGGCCCAGGCCCATACAAACATTTCTACTCATGAAACCAAATGTTTGCACGGTGGAAGAAATCGAACTCGATACTGTAGGAAGCAAAGCTATGCTAAGCCCCTAGACCACCAAGGCCGTCGATCTGACCATGATCAAAAAAACTTTTGTGTATGTATTTTATATTTCCGACTAAATTAAGAAAAGCGTAGTCTTGCTCTCTGCTACGTTAAATTCATATTTACCCAGCGAAATGTTATGCGTTCGCCGTGATTTTACTCTCTATCTACCCCAACAGATTTCAGTAGTCATAGTACATTATTATTATTTTGAAAGATTTCAATTTAGTGGTTAATATAAAAGAAATTAAAGTCACATAACATAATAGAATCTTTAAAATATATACGACAGCTACATATCAAAATATTTAAAATAATACTCAAACACTAGCTTCTTCAAAATACCTTCAGTAGCAGATAAGAATTCGTTGATAAGTAACTTACATCAAACTTAAGTTAATGATATTTTCTTATTTATTATTTAATTTGATGTGACATAGGTATCTAATAATAATTTAAGTACGTAGGTATTATTAGTATTAATTTTGATGTGTTATTATTATAACACATCAAAATTATTTATATTTTGTAATTTACCATTACAAAGTATTGCTGATCAAGCTTTATTGAAGATGTTCTATCATCATCAACATTTATGCATTTAAATAATTCATTCATTTATTCAATTTTATGTTATCATATGTAACATCCGTATACCACTTAAAAGTCGCCACTCCATAGAGATATATCTACATATATATAATTAGGAATAACTTACATAAGATTCGTTCTAAATTAAATATGTCTACTAGTTCTAAATAATGGTAAATAAATGTTCAATCATTCACTAAAATTAAGAACACAGGATATCCAGACTTAATATTCGATAGATACATATATATACCATTGTCATTACCTATAACTCAACAAAACTATATAAAAAAAGTCTCTACCATTTTAGTGTGAATTATCCCTTAGTTTCGAAATGAACTCGGGTGTACCATTCCGCCCTTTATCTGTACAGGCCAGGTTCAAACAAACCGACAGTAGTTCAATATTTTAAAATATGTTGTACAGCAACTTTACTATTTAATTATAATATGTTCGCGTAGTATGATAATACGCATAAAAGGTAAAAATTAAATAGGATTATAATTTTTATGTATACTTTTACTATAAAAAAACTCTGTATTCAATCAGATTTTTATCGTGTAATCAATTCTGTGCAATTAAATCTAAATAACGATTTCCAAACACATATGCATTATCAAAGATAAGTGTATTGTACAACAAATTACCTGTATTATTAACAACTTCCACGCAAACAAAGCGCACCATGCTATAGCTTTAATTAATCAATAATACATTTACCCCTGTAAAAGTCGTGGTATGAATATATTAATAGAAGAGAAAAAGGAGACTTCACTACATAACATGGGTAAGTTTAGGAAGCGTAGTACTACTGTTCCATTTAGTTTTGCTATATGTGCAAAGCTCCAGCCTCCGACTACGACCAACACGGAGCTCCGACAACAGTCGCCCCTAAACTCTCGCCCTGATCAGACGCTACCACTGCTAGTACTATGCCCCGACGTAACGATACAACTTTGAACGTTGACGAACCAGGTAATTACAATAAAAAATATAAGTCCCATTCCTAATTCAAAAAGCGGTTACTGAAAGTGCTTAAGGAATATTACCACCTTTTTAGATTCCCACGTGAATTTTTAATTCCACCGTGACGAGCGGCATATGCGGGGTCGCCGTCAGTAAATAAGTGCCTTCGGTGTGTTACGCACTGTGTAGTGTGTAATTAGTTGAGGATAATATTTTTTTTATTTAATTCATAATATGATGTTAGAAATGTCTAGTCGTCAGAATTTGTATCCTACAATAGGTTCAAGTAAATAAGTGACATTATATTATTTTTTCTTGTAAAATGAATTGGAAATTTAAAATATTTTATGTTTTCAGCTATTGGAGAAGACAATTCTGAATCGAAGACGTGCGGGCAGATACTAGTGGTGTTGGCGTGGATTTTGGTACTTGCGACTCTTCCGTTTTCTCTATTTATTTGTTTCAAGGTAAGTTTTCTAAAAGTTTTCCACTCCACAGATTAAGGCCGTCCGCACTCTAATTGCCATTTCGCACATTCGAAAGCATCTTGTTGAATTCGTAGTGATGGTGCGAATTATATTTCAACATTTTTCATCAAATAGTGCATTGAAACGTCGCGTTGCGTTATTTTAATAACTTTAGAACTTTATGAATTTGAAAGTACATTTATTCTAGAGTAAATAAATATCTATAAATAATGACTTAGTAACTTTATTTTGTATGTTATTGCATATTAAGTTAGTATCATACAAAGTAAAGAAACAATGCAAAAAAATATGAAAATATTGTATGTCATAACATATTAAGTTAGTATCATACAAAGTAAAGCAAAAATTTGCAAAAAAAATATGTAATTATCTTATTTATTGATAAGTTGTTAAAAATATTACTCAATAATCTATTATGATAATATTTTCATATTTTATTATGTAGGTATATTATTATTTGTTCCCGATAATATGCCTACTTCTTGCACTTGGTAATAATAACTTATTTTTTAATTCTGCGTGCGTTATTTTAATCTTGGATGTATATGGGCTGGGCGTTATAGTACTTTACAGTTTGGTACCAGATTTTATCCACATTAAAGATTTCAGTTTTGCATCACTATGTTCATTCCATTTACATGCTTTGATATGTATCTCTTCAATGATATTATTAAAACAAAAACATTAAAAATGTACGGTTATTTTATTTAACATTTTTTTTAAATCTTTAATTCCTCGTCCCAAATTTTTTCATTATCATTCTTTCCCTTTCTTTCCGTTCCATTCTCTTTAACTCTATTCTACTCCATTCTACCGCATCAAATTATTTTCCCTATTCTACTCCGTCCTACCCTGTCAAATCACGCCCTACCCTGTCCCTTCATGTCCTACGCCGACGTATCTTGTTCTACCCAATTCTACCTCGTTCTACCCCGTACTACCCCGTTCTACTGCGTACTATCTCGTTCTACCTCTTTCTATTCCGTACTAAGTCTTTCTACTCCGTAATACCCGTTCTACTTCGTACTACCCCGTTCTACTCCGTACTACCCCGTATTACCCCGTTCTACTGCGTACTACCCCGTTCTACTCCGTACTACCCCGTTCTACCTCTTTCTACTCCGTAATACCCGTTCTATTTCGTACTACCCCGTACTTCATCTTTCTATCCCGTACTATTTCGTACTGCCAAGTACTACCCAGTTGGGGGGAAAAGGGATTGTTAGTAATGTAGACTCATGACCCCATTACTAGCAATGTACTATGTCAGATTGACCTCCACGCGGTTCCCTCTGGAAACCATTCCGGGTGAATTCCTGGTGAATTTATGACTATGGGCTGACTGACTTGACCTCATGTTCACCTCACCTCCGCTGGTGCCCCGCCAGCGTATACCGTTAGCGCAAGCGGGAGTACCATTCCATTATCATCCATAAAAAAAGTACTACCCGGTTCTCCTCTATACTACCCCGTACTACACTGTAGTACATAAAACATATAATATATTTAAAATACAATCCAGTAAAATCGTACATATAAAAAATTATCATAGAAAACAAATACTCATTTTTATACTAGCTGCGAGGTGTGTAATGAAGGATATAGCTCAGTGACGGTAACCAGTTACCGCAGACTACAGATACGCTAGGGGTGTCAACAGCAGTTTGGTGACTTGAAATACTTTCACTCTTTATTCACCACTTAGCTATACCAATATGTCAACAACAGCATACAATAATGTATTCTATGCGTGACACATTATGTTATAATTTCATTTTTTAAGTAATTTTCAATTTTTCTTGTAATAATAAATAATGAAATTTGTGTTTGTGTCGTTTGGTAATGCCACTCTTATTGTTCAGGTATATAGTGTAAACTAACTTATTACAAACAAAACGACTGACAGACAAACAGAATAAACCTAACAGATATTATTTAGTTTTATTATATTGTTAAAATCCTCCCTTATAACATACTAGCTGTGCCCGTGGCTTCACCCGTGTTAAATTTCTATATATAACTTTGATTAAGAAATATAGCCTATGTGTTATTCTGATGCTAAATGAATATTACTGTAAAGTTTCATAAAAATCCGTTCAGTAGTTTTTGCGTGAACATCCACTCTTACAAACTTACGCGTTTATAATATTAATAATAATACATACATTATTATTAATACAAACTAAATTTTACCGACGTAATTGAGAACTTCTATTCCATTTTTAAATAAATAAATAATTATTTAGAATATATCGTAGTATCGGATATTTTCTAATAACTAGTCTATTTTAAAAAACTAAGAGAAACATAAAATAACATCCTGCAATAAAACTTTTCATTCTATTCTTAAAACCATATTCCCGCAAAACCCAGTAGATACCTTGAGGAGCGAAAATAGTTAACACTAAGTGTATTTGAGCCCATCAGTGACCACCTTCAAAGTAAATTCCACTCACAAACAAAAGCTACAAGGTAGAAAATTGATACTTGTTGATATAACATGTAATATGTACAACTATGTACCCCATGTTGCGTTGAACGTATAAATCTCTAAATCCTTTGAGAACACGCTGTACCAAGAAAATATATAAAGATAAACAACCTGTATAATGTTTATGTACTACGTCGCAACATGTTAGCATATATAAATATAAATGGGAAAATGTAATTACTTGTCCATTGTAGATTTAGTTCTTAGTTTTCTAACACAGAAGACGACGGAGGCGACACTGGTTATGAGTAATGTGCGGTCACATAACGTAATGTCTAGCACCAAACCACTCGATGTATGACCCCGTATATTTTTAGCGTATTTTGGAGGGCTAGTACAAGTCCCTTCAAAGACGATACCTGTAAGGATAATTACTACTTGGACTGTCGGAGATTTAAGAGCAGAACTTAATCGAAAAGGACGTACATATAATAGTAATCTAATCAGGTTTATTAATATACCAGTAGTCCCTAGTCGTCGCGAAATCATCCACGAGCCTGAATTTTATGATGTAACTCAATAAAGATGATAAAGACATTAACCTTACCTTACCTTTTACAATGATAACCAATTTAGCACTCTTTATTATTTTTTCCAAGTCATTACAGCTCGTATAAAAACTGAAAGAAAGTCTCAAAGACAAATATAAGTTCCTTAATTATGAGGCGCCCCGTCACCCGTATCAATTAGCGACGACGGGGTGTCTTAAAGACCCTATTAACTGAAAAGAAAAATATAAAAGCATAATACACGCATTATTGATTCAACTTTATTCCCAATGGTTTTGACCTATAATATCCTTCATACTTATCAGTACCAGTAACTTATAAATTTTTCCTTTTAACGCAAAACTTGAAAACATTTTATAAAGATAAGTGATATTATATAAAAATACCAAGTTACTTCTAAATTCTTTACTCATAAAAGCATTAACTCCTTCTTTTTTAACATGTTTTAGTTGATCAATAAAACAAATGAAATAAAAGGTCAAAAGTGACAGTTTTAGAGAAAAAATGTCTACAAAAACTGTTAATTTAACCATCGTTGCTAATTCAACATTCATAACACCTGACTACAGAACTATAGTATATATAGCAATCTTGCTACCTGTTGCCGCCTATTCCTGTGAGGATTTCAGTAATCGTTATCTTACCGGATACTCATTGCAAAAGGAAGCTCAATAAATGCAGGAAGATTAAGTCTTGCGGATATTTCTGTGAAACCAGTATCATTCACTTAGTAAAATCTATTAAATTTTCTACATTTTTATTTTCTACGTCTTATATCCCAGAGGATATTTCCTACTATACTCTATATATATAGCTATAACCTGTATATATAGTGATACTATTACTAAAACCTTTATAATAACTTAATATTAGTTATTCAAAATTCTAATAATATTAATAATAAACAACTATGCAAACAAATTGATAAACATGATTATTTATCCATTAATAATATAAACTTAAAAATATTCGATAAAATCCAATACGATTGAACCTTCTCCTGGACTCGCTGAGAATAATCGTGTAGCAATTTCGGAGGGTCGGAATCTCGCAACGGAAATATCCCCACCCAATTTCTCGGAACAGTTTGTAACACATGAATTTGAGGTTAAATCAATTTACCTAAAATAAGGGAAAAGGCTTTTTATAAGAGCACGTGGGTCTCGTGAATATCCAACTTTATCACCATCAGTCAGCCAAATCATAACAGCAATGAGATTCGACCACGTTTTACACTTGATCCATCGATTAATCGATCGATTGGTCAAGGCGTAGGCTCAGACTTCAGACTAATTTTAAAAATTAACCTGTATTTCGAATAGTATTGGCAATTTGTCTGAAAAGTTATATCTTTATTATTTACCTGATTAATTTTAAATACAGTTATATTATAACTATATATAAGTTATAACTGTTATATATATACGTAAAAATATAAAAAAAATTAAACTTAAATATTCTCAATCTTGGAATTAAAACAGTCGGTTTGTAAGACTAAAAAGAGTAAAACTAAATTTGGTTGTCACACTAAATTAATAATGGTTCATAATAATGAATTCGAAAGTAACAATTAATTTTAAAATATGTCATACATTTTGTTTTAATAAAAATATTTCGTGTATTCATCGAATTAAAAAATCATCTAAGTAACTCTAAAAAAACAAAACTTTAGTAATAGAAACAATATTTTAATAAATAAATGTCAAACAATGGTTATTAATAGTACAACTAGTTTGACCGTCATACTTTTGGTATTTATTATTAAAGTTATGTAGTCAGTTTTTCAAGCTTTTTTTTAATGTTGGGAAATGAGGTCAGATAGCCGTGGTCTAATTATTGCATAACGAATTCAGCGGGAAAATAATTTGAAAAATGACGAGAACAAAAGCGTTTCCGTAATAAAGTAACGGTCGTTAATGTGGCAATAACTTTTAATGTAGGAAACTATAGCTCTATCGTGGTAAGAATATTTAATGACACTGTAATAAATTATTGTCTGTTTCTAAATAAAATAGATTTGAAGCAACGTAGACTTTGTAAAAAATCAATTTAATATACAAAAGAAATTTATTTATAGAAGCACACGCTCTGTATACATACATATATATGTATATATAAATGATAGATCGACATTATTCGATGTCACGCTCACCTCAAGCGCTTAGTTCTGTGACGGATGGTGATATGTAATAGATGACAGAGCCTACAGAGTGACGCATGAACGTGTACGTGTAAATAGTATGTTCTTTTGTATATTGAATTGATTTAACCCAAAATACGTGATACGAGTCGTTCCAAGAAACATAAAGCCGCAGGTGTAATTAAACAAATTACAAGAATCTACTATACATGTAGATATTACTAACCGACCCGCAAACGTTGTTTTTCCATTTGTTGAGTTGTGAGCCACCCTTAGTTTTTAAAATTAGTTATAAACGTGTTCTCAGATCCACTGAATATTCATATTTCATCAAAATCGGTCAAGCCGTTTCGGAGAAGTAGAAACACGAAACCTGTGACACGAGACTTTTATAAATTAGTTTATATATAGATAGACGACACCTGTACGTAAGTATTTCGGTATATCTGCTGTCAAGAAAGCGTACATGCTTGTTTCAATTATATTTGACATATTGACAGTGAAATTACAAGATACGTAGATATTACATCTCAATCTCCACGAACGACATGACTTATACAGCTTACCGAATCATGTAAGTAATCACAATGGGTAAGTGATAAATAAACTGACTGCCAATGTATACAACATTGGCTGTCAGTTTATTTATAAATCCATTCAAACAAAAACGTTAGGAGATTTCTCATTAATAACATGACTTTGAAGTGACCATACAGTTCATTTATTAGACATTCTCCGCTTTGCGTCGCATATCCATAGACAAATGAAAGGAAATGAGGTCAAATGGCCGTACTCAAACTAATTACTGTGCGGTGCAGCTTATGTAGAGAGAATATCATTTCGGTGCAGCAACACAAACTGTGGAGAACAAAAGCTACTATTATCATAGGTATTTTACTACAGAACATGTAGTAAAACACCTATGAAAATTGTGTATTATTCACGCATATTGTTTAAATAAATGTGATAATAATAGATTTTACCTTTCACTGGTAGATTAAGCCATATTAAAATTATATGTAATTACATACATAATTAATTAATTTGCTTTTCGTTGTTTGAAAATATTTTCAAAAATCTGTTAACTGATTAATTATTAGATCGCCATATCTGATATAGATATTTACAATCACAAAAAATATCTTTCAAAGTACAAAATTTATACTTTTTTAAAAATGTTAACTTTGCAATATGTAACTACATAATCAAAGGCAAATAATATCAAACGAAACAAAAAATATACGTTGTTAAACTTTTGTTTGAACTTCAGAATGATAGGTAGACACATTACCTATATAAGGTAAAACATATGTCCTTAAACAAAAGAAGGAAAATTAATATAAGAATGCAACTCTATAACTATGTCCTTTAATGTAATTATGAAACAAAGGAATACGAATAAGCAGCAACACAGTGAACAATTTACTCGAGCAGCAAGCAGTAATTTCCATTAAGTGAACATCGAAGTATGATGTATATTGTATAATATATCAGTATAGTTCAGTGTAATTCCACTGCAAATATGAGTAGCAATTGCGTCGTGCAATATTTAATAAAAGTATGAAACTACATAATTGCAACTAAGTTGGCGTTTGAGCTTTGAAAACTAAATAAAGTTGGGAACTCCCTTCTTTTGTTTTACTTTAATAATAGTCGGAATTTACATCTGCATGTTTTTAGCGCTAGCGTTCGAACTATTTACAACGAGTGTCATGTATGATGACACATTTCTGCTGTGCAATATAAATAAAGTTGTGAACTTTCTTCTTTTGTTACAATTTAATAACAGTTATAATTTTTATGCAGATATCTGTATTTAGCGCTAGCGTTTAAACTATTTTCAACTTGTCATTATTCGCGTATGACAGTATATTTCAGCTTTGAAATACTGAATAAAGTTGTAAAGTTCCTTATTTATTTCATTTTAATAATAGTCAGAATTTACATCTCCACATTTTCTAGCGCAGCCCTTCAAACACGTCCAACTCGATTCCTTTATTCGTGTATGGCAGTACATTTTTGCTTTGCAATATAAATAAAGTTGTGAACTTCTGTGTTTTATTTCACTTTAAGTAGAAACAATTTACATTTCCATGTTTTCAACGCTAGCGTTCAAACCACGAGAATCTTCAACTTGTTGAGTTTATCGTGTCATATACGACACAACATTTTTGCTTGCAATTCAAATAAGAGAATTGTAGAACTTTAATTACCATAAAATGACTAAAACGTTTCATTATCACTATAGTCGTGACTTTGTATTCGTAAATTTAAATATAAGGCTCGTAGGTTAATTTTAGACAAAAGCCGACTCCAAATAAATGGAATATCGAAGAAGCAGGAGACGATGATGATGATGGGTTAACTTCGGACAAGGTTTACAAAATATCATTGAAACCCGTTAAGCTTATCAAATTCTGTACATACGGTCTTTAGCATAAAAATTCTAAATAATATTAGTGGTATTTCATCCACAATTATATTCTGACCATAAAGAAAATAGGCTTGAAACTGATCTCCTGGATTCGAGCTCTCCAGGAGCTGGTAGTGTTTTAATTTGAATTTTCCATCTCTTCCACCGTTTTCCTTTCTCTTGTCAATCACTTTTGACATACTTAAGATAAAAATATGATGATAAGTCATACAGTCATATTATATATCTGATTGTCCCTACCAAATTATAAGTACCTTATATCATTAATTATTGTACAGGTGGTGCAGGAGTATGAGAGAGCCGTTATTTTTCGTTTGGGAAGACTTGTCTCTGGCAAGGCTAAGGGACCTGGTAAGTATTATTTCTTTTAGGTCAATATTTTTTTCAGATCTTATCTTATCTTACTTCCAATTTACAAGAGGAGGTTTAGTTTATTTATTGATTTTTTTTAATGACAATCCAATAGTCACTAATGTATCGTAAAAAATACAATGGATAATATATTAGAATTGGAAGCGTCTCTTATATCCTCAGAAACGATTAATTTCCTACGTTCATTCTTTTACTTTATTTAGCTTCATATCTAAGCTAATATTATAAAGCTGAAGAGTTTATTTATTTGGTTTAAAGCGGATATCCGAAACTACTGGTTTTAAGTGAGAAATGTTTTCAGTAGTAGATAACCCAATTCTCGAGATAGGCTATATAGGCTCTACGAGAAATAGTGGAGCATCAAACAAAAATGTTGAAACAAAACGAGGAAAATGTATTCCTTTTCAGAGCATATTCCCAGTTATGTGACACAGACGAAGCCGCGCCGATCAGTTAGTTAAGGTATAAGCGACGTGTTTAATGTAACATCATTTATTATTCTTGCACGACCAGCGCAGTAGTAGTACAGCTGTAATTATGTGCTGTCATTAACAACAGCCAGGTATTGACAAAGTGTCAGAATCGAGAATGGAGTTTCAATTTTTATTTGATACTAGCCGACCCGCGCCGCTTCGTATGCTTCACACTTATTTGACATTAACAATAATATCTATTTAAATTATAGTTTATATATTATTCTAATGTATAAGCTATATTACTGTAAAGTTTCATCAAAATCCGTTCAATACTTTTTGCGTGAAAGAGTTACAAACATCTGTACTTACAAACTTTTGCGTTTATAATATTAATAAGATATATCGACGTGCGAGACATAATGTTTGTCATATAATAAGAAAAGCTCTCTCTACAACAAACTACTAAGGAATTTTGAAAGATATTTTACAGTACATCCTTATATTTTTTCTATAAAGAATATAATGGACATTCCGCAGTCGCTTTGTGCATTCTATTAGATAAATAACTTTAATAAGTTAATATATGCAAATATGTCTCTCTGTAAATAGATTAGATTTTTTCATAAATACAGACATTTATAAGTATGTATTTAAAATACATTAATTACTACAATAAATTACTTATATTCTATAAGAAAAAGATCGTGAGATCAAATCAAACCAATCCTACCCATCTGGATTTATAGCCATGCAGCCAATCATACTCATGACTTCAAATATCTGCATCATGCGAGGAATCGAACTCGTGATTATCTGAAGTAAGGCTGTATGCTAAACCACTAGATCACCGAGGCCGATATTATTTATGTATGTATACAAAACCACAGTTAAATATGACAAAATGTCATGGTCGACGGTGGAAGCAATACGACAGCATTAGTAGTACGTAGAGCTTGCTACGAAACAATAATCCGTATTCTCGAGAGAATGGTTATGAAGCTGTGTGAATAATGAATACATTACTACATAATATTAAAAAAATCAAACAGATTGTACCTATATTTCATTGACTAATATAATTATAGATATTTCACTGTATATTATCTTAGTAATACTTACACTAAAATATAACATTGACTTCAAAATTACTATATCATACAAATAAATACTCAAAATGTATTTAATAGAAATTCAAATATGTATTATAGTCGAAGAGGGTCGTGACTGAACTTTAGCGTTAAGGAATTGATCAGTCAGCACTAATTAGACGAATTGGTCACTGAACAGCAGGTCAGTGCAGATATAATGCAGTGCAGATATAATGTAAAAATTCACTTATTTGCCCTTATTATATACCCTTAGATTAAAAATTAATATTTAGGTCATAATTAAAGTGTCATGGAAATAGAGACACAACCTAAAATCAGGTAATGTTATGTTAATAAATAATCATATTTAAATACTTCCTCAAAGGAATCTTTTATACGAATTGACTTATGTATGTTGATTTTATCGATTTAGCATCAATCATATCTTGGTTAATATGTCAGTCAAGAATCACAAAATTATCGAAATAAATTACATCGGTACTATTGAATAAGAAATAGAGTTTAAAACTTTAATCGGTCTCTCGTTTTATCACTAAAATGCTCGTACTAACATGAAATGATACTGGAAAATGGATTACAAATGAAGCGAAATCACGGAAAAAAATAGGTACCCACATATTCATAAAAGTAAAAGGTTCTGCAAATCCAGTTAAATTGCTTTGTCATGTTCTTTCAAATTAAAAAATAACTCTAACAGTAAGAGACAGTACGAACAGTCCAATAGCTAAAATAGGTATAACATTTTCAAAGTTTTTAACAATATATGAAATAAGGTAAATAAAAACAATGTACTGTCAAGCCTGTTATTCCAAATGGAGTTATCAGGGGTATTGTTACTTATTAATATTATGGTAAACGAAATATTTAACATTATTTTTTAACATTTTCGCTTAGTTTGGTATATTTGATCCGCACACCACCGTTTCTCTCATGAATTTTTGAATAGATGTCGATGTCTCTTTTAAGGTAATATACAGCTTAATATTATAGTCGGTGACACCTATAAAAAATATCTGTGTTATTTCCTATCGAGCCATCAAGGAAGTTTCATTATAAATTTATGTCCATAAATTTAGTATTCGGTATTGATTCTCATTAATTGAATTTATAGAATTCTCATTTAAAGAAAGAGGTTTCCAATGTAATTTATAACCAACCGTATTTTACAAGGTTTTATTGAAATTGCTATTTTAGTATGTGAGCAATCTTTCATCTGAAGTACGAAGTACAATAGAGGCTTAATTATGTAATGCTGTTATTGGCTATTCAATTGTTTTAGAATAAAATACAATAGATTCGTTTATTTTTAATATATTAAATATCTTATTTACAATATATAATCCGTGTGATCGTAAATCTATTGTAGTGTATATAAGAGGGTGATATAAATTAATAATTATTATTTGTGTGGCAGGTATTTTCTTCATTTTGCCGTGCGTGGACACGTACGCTCGGGTTGATCTTCGGACCCGAACTTACGATGTTCCTCCCCAGGAGGTAAGTCTTAATAAGTTTAAATTAATATTAATCATTAATGAAAATCATTAATTAATTTATTCATACTGTAATTCGGCTAATATAATTAGCCATAAAATTGTAATAGAGTATGACAATAATTTCAACCATTTCAATAAGTATAATATTGGTAATAAACATTAAAAAGTGATAAAGACGTATGTATTTATTAAAAGAATAATACTAAATTTCCTGAGTCAGTAAGATACATTGCGAAGTTAGACTCAATTAATTTAACTATTAATAAGCTTGTGCATCACCTGATGGAATGTAGTGTGAACTGCTTTTATACTTGTTTCTCACAACTCATTTGATTCTCTTATTCTCGTTCATGATAGCAAGATGTAGAGGACGGCCTACACTCACCATGAAGAACTGAAATAATATTATGGAATACAGTATCTATTTGATACGAAAGTAACAAAAGTTAACGTGCTATTTCCATTTTTGTAAATACTTTAACTTTGACTTCAACAATATATTATAGAAAAATGATGACTGAAGTCCGCATTAGTAGGAAATCGCTTGGATGTTGTACTTCAAAGTTTCAGTGGATCTATAATTTCATTGAAGTATTCGTGGCGGCGCGGGTGAAATAAATATTGTTTGATTTTGATTTAAGTGGACTGTATCTAAATAATCTGACGGGTACGTGGATTGACACGATACACTGTTAGGTTGGTGATTGAGAACTGCTTGTGAGGATGGAACACAAAGAAAGACAGTTCTGGTAAGGAAGGAGGCACAGTACCTTTGAATTGTAGGTTGCAGTGCGGCGGCTATCGGTGTCTCCAGGTCCCAGCTACTTGCTTCACAACAATGGCACAAACACAATGGTCTTAAACACACTAGAGCGATGCGGTGGATTAAAATGTTTAGTAATTATCACGAATTACAAAAAACTTGATCTTAAGCGCGATCAAGGCGGGAATTCAATGTCAACTTCAGCGTTCAATTTAACAGTGACGCGCGAGCGCGATATGTCACTTTCGATACAAGCGAATCTTCTCGCTCGCACTTAAAACAAAGGTATGTGCGGGAATAGGAGAGGATAAAGGAATTAGTGTAGTGCCAATCCTTAGAAAATTAACGTTTCGTACCACGCTAAATTATTTATTTGAACAAACTATTACTAATAATAATTATACAATGATAAACAAAAATGTAATGTTATATGGCGCAACCATTCCCCCGCCTTGAAGGGACGCCTTCAAAGTAAAAATAGAAACTTAAAATAAACTAAACCTTAACCTAGAACTCGTATTAACTAAAACTAATGTCTAGGTAAGGGGCACAGACGTACAACCGGGCGCAAATAGGAGCCGGTTGCAGTTTTTACACGAACAACCCGAATTACGCCGTCAGAAGCCGGAAAGACCTCTTCAATAACCCCTAAAGGCCAATGAAGTGGTGGCGCATTTTCAGTACGTACAATTACAACAGTTCCGACAGTAATCTGATTGACGGGCGTATTCCATTTTTCGCGAGATTGTAATGTGTGCAGGTACTCCGCTCTCCATCGCTTCCAGAACGTTTGCACTAATCTGTCTAATAATGCGTGGCGTGAAATCAAAGAACTGTCAGCTATTTCTGCGGCGGGCAAATATTTCAACGGAGTAAAATTTAAAAAATGTGCGGGTGTTAGTGCAAGCGGCTCTGACGGATCATTAGATAAAGTCCGACATAATGGTCGAGTATTCATGATTGCCTCTACTTGCGTGAGTACCGTAATCATTTCCTCAAATGATAAAACTTGAACCCCAACGACCCTGAACAAATGCGTTTTCAAACTTTTTATATTAGTCTCCCAGTTACCTCCGAAGTGACTAGCAGCGGGAGTGTTGAGAAACCAAGTCAGGCGGTTTTCTGACAAGACGTGCGCAAATTCGGTGTTAAAATGTTTAGAGCTCAAAAATGCGTGAAGTTCCGAAAGCGTGCGTTTTGCTCCAATATAATTAGTGCCATTATCGGAGTAGATATGAGCTACAGGACCACGACGAGATAAAAACCGTTTAAGAGCTGACATGAAACTTGCTGTACTTAAATCTCCTGCCAATTCTATATGGACGGCGCGGGTTGTTAAACAAACGAATAAACAAATATAAGCTTTAGTAGACCGTATGCCACGACCACGTGTTATAGTTATTTTGAAAGGACCAGCATAATCGGTACCTGTGTGCATGAATGGTTTTAATGTTTCAAGAACACGACAGGGTTTGTGATCTGACATTTCTGGAAATGTCGATTTCGGACGAAGTTTAAAACAAGGTACACATTTGTGCACTCTGTGGCGAATCAAGTTGCGGGCAGATAAAATCCAATATTTCTGCCTTAAAATAGACATCAGTAAATCAGGACCAGCATGACAATTAACTTTATGGTGATAGTCTACTAATAAATCCAATATATGATGTTTCCGGGGAAGAACAATAGGGTGTTTCTGATCAAAATTCAAGTTCGAATTTCTCAAACGACCACCGACTCTAATTATACCTTCTAGAATGAAGGGTTTGAGTCGCTGAAGTGATTGGGAACAAAATTTTCCATTTTGTAAATTGTTAATTTCCCCATGAAAATACAAAGCCTGTAATTCTCGAAGGATTACAAGTTCTGCGTAATCTAAATCTGCTGCGGTTATGAATTTTAGCGGGGTTAATAATTTTGCGAAACGACAGACATAAACTACGCAGCGAAGAAGCTTGGACCAAGAAGAAAAGCGATTTGCCAGAGCGATGAAAACCGATTCTTCTGGCGGTGTACGAGTAACAAAGGAGAGTTTCTTCTCCTCAGGCGGGTCCATAACAGCAGAAGGATTGAAAGTGGTGACTGGCCATTCCGAAAAGGTGGATTTAGCCCACTGCGGGCCGTTGAACCATAGGGGGTGGTGAATTATTTGGGCAGGAGTAAGCCCTCGCGATAGACAGTCGGCTGGATTGTCCGAACCAGACACGTGATAAAAATTGTGCGGTGAAAGCAGAGATTGAATTTTAGAAACTCTATTCGCGACAAAAGTATCCCACCTGTGGGGCGATGCGTGGATCCAACATAAAGCAACTGTTGAATCAGAAAATGCGTGTATTGCCTTAATTGGATAGCGGTTGTTAACAGCGGTAACAATATTATTAATTAAATTAGCGAGCAAAAGCGCTGCGCAAAGTTCGAGTCGGGCCAACGACACGACCTTGCGGGGTGCAACCTTAGATTTTGCACTTATAAGATGCACAGTACTCACACCATCATTCTCGACGTGGAAGTACACAACAGCACCATAAGCCTTTTCACTAGCGTCTGCGAAGCCAATGATGTTCACCACACTGCGTTTTGTGATGTCAACATGGCGCTGTAATTTAATTTGATCTAGACTGGGGAGCTCATCCCTGAAACGTGACCATTGTCTGACGATAACTTGAGGGGGGGCGTCGTCCCAATCGCAGTTGCATAACCATAACTCTTTGACAAGAAGTTTGGCAAATAATATAACGGGTGCTACGAAACCCATTACATCCCACAATCTTGCGACACAAGATAAAATGGTGCGTTTTGTACACTTTTCAGCGGGCGTGCAAATTTTTAAACTAAATAAATCTGAGCTAGGAGACCAGCACAGACCCAGAATTTTATGCGTATCAGACACGTCGAATTCTACGACCGACGAAAGTCGATGTGTTGACGGAATGGAATTTAAAACTACTTGCGAATTGCTCGTCCATTTGACAAGATCAAATTGTCCGGCCTTCATGAGTGAGATGATCTCAGCAGCTGTGACGATAGCCTCATCTTCACTATCTAGACAATATACTAAATCATCCATGTACAGACCGGTGTGAACCGCTTCCTTAGCTTTTGGGAACGATTCGCCTTCGTCGGTGGCTAACTGCTTAATAGTACGCAGTGCAAGAAACGGACTCGATTTGAGTCCAAAACAAACGCGATTAAACTGATAAACCTGGAGAGGTTCGTCAGGCGAAAATCTATACAATATGCGTTGAAATCTGCGGTCACTCTCTCTAATACGAATGCAAAGAAACATTTGCCTAATATCGGCAGAGAGAGCTACTGAAAATAATCTGAAGTTAACTATAATATCAAATAAATTGCGTTGTAAATTCTGTCCATTATAAAGAAGATCGTTGAGAGATACGGACGTGCTAGTTTTAGCGCTAGCATTGAGTACGACGCGCAATTTAGACGTGAGTTTATCTTTTCGAATAACTCCATGGTGCGGTATTATATACGAAGGAGCATTACTATCATCATTAACGGGTGCGGGTGAAATATAACTCTTATCTAAATACTCCGTAATGACGTCATCATAGGCTTGCTTGAGTTCAGGCGAAGCCTGCATTTTGCGTTCGAGACAAAAGAAACATTTCTCGGCTAATCGACGCGAGTCGCCAAGAGAATGTGCATTACCCTTGAAGGGAAGCGCGACGGTATAACGACCGTCGTCCTCGCGAGTGGTAGTGCCAGCATAAATAGCTTCACACTCCTTGTCGTCCGGGCTGAGAATCGGTGTAACATTCACCTCTTCCATTTCCCAGAATCTACATAGAACGGATTCCATCGTGGGTTCGGTAACACAACAATGCGCGGTGGTAGTGTAATTACAATTATCTAACATATTAGACACGGAAGTATCGGTATTTGATCTAGCGGGAGCTGAACCTACAATAACAAAGCCTAATACGGTCTCAATAGCATACGGCGAGACGTATGCGGGTTGACCTTTAACCTTACGGGACAATATTAAATGCGGGAAAATTGAGGCACCGATTAACATGTCAATGTTCCCAGGAGTAGCGTAACTATCATCGGCTAAAGGCAAATTTTTAAAATTTGAAAATAATGAAATATCGACACTAACAGTCGGTAAACGTTCGGTTATTTTATCTACAACTAAGGATTCCATATCAAATTTAATATTACGATTAAACCGTGAAAAGAATTTTATATGTACAGAACCCTGTGTGGCCTTTGTTGTC